ATATAAATATCATACCATATTATTACTATTAACTTTAATAATCTGACTGACAAAATTATGTATAAAAACATAGGGTATTAGTCTATTCACTAATGCAAGCCATACAAGCCATTCTTGATCAGAAATATCTCTTTTCTTTCCAATCCAAGCCCATCCTGAATCAAAATCACCGTATGCATCGTAATAGTCATTGAAATCTAAAAAGATAAATCATATGATTAAACTAATATTTACTCCCGTCACTTCTCTTCGTCTTTCTTTCTGTATTCTTACAATCATTTGTCAAATAAAACTGATATACGGAATAAGTGATAGCACACGACCACATCAAGAAATAAAAATAATTTTCATAATAACTTATGGTTACTGAACAGTTCTTTTTCATTGTTAACTTAAATTTGCCGCTTTACGCAATTAAATTATAATCACGGAAAGAAAACAATGGTAAAGAGAGTAGGTTTGTTCACATTATTTCTCACATCCTAGTATTTTTTTTTATACCTAAAGCACGGTATAAGTAGATAAGTAGATGCAGGTTCACTCAAGCCGACACCCATGAAATGTTCGTACATTTCAGAAGGTGCGATCCACTTGGTGCTACAAATACCTCGAAGCATTTTTTGATTGGCCAATTCATAAAATTCTTTGTTCTGATTGGCTAATCAAATACTTCGAAGTATTTGCAATAGCAAGTGAATCACACCTAGTACACTCAACATATGGCGGTTTATTAAAAAAATTCTACTGTACAGTCTGTTACAGTATAATCATAGTATAAGTACTCATTACATATAGAGTGAACAAAAAGTATCGGACCGATAAAATATCATGATAATTAAGCTGTTATGCTGCTTATTTTCACTGCCAGTACTCAAAATATCGTTTCTCTTTGATATTCACATTTGTATCAATGGCATGCTTATTAGAATTGGAACACTATTGGTAGCATGCTTTTTATGACGTATGCTTGCAACACTGGCAATCAATTTTGGAACACAGTCAATGTAACATTTTTAATTTTACATACTGTTTGAGTTATTAATAGCCACTAATTTAATATAAATAGCAACTATTACTTAGGATATCATAATTATTTATCTAATTGCATATATGTTTTTTTACACTATTTATCTATTTCTTTAAAAAATTTACAACAAAAAATAATTTACAAAAACAATTTAGCATTGAAAAATATTTTTAATTTGCTTTTATTTTTATAACTCCTTAAAAATATATAAAAATATCATGTCTTATTTTATAATTTTTTTATGATTACTTAGTTTATATGTTACTTTTTTTTTAGAACTATATTTCATAACTTAATGATAACTTTTATACATCTGATCTTTATTATATATGAAGATCGATTATTAATCATCTGGTATAGGAGTATTGCAATTTCCATGCCACAATTTGGTCTCTGAATTACACTCTGAATAGTTAGCAAACACATCCGCATAACCACGATCACGCCACCAAGTACAAAGTTGCCTATTCCAACCACAATCGACCATATGAATAAGCTCTGGTCTTTCCATGCCTAAAAGCGTATAGAAATCTTGATCGCCTAAATGACCCTGCAACAATATAAATAATTTATTAATCTAATTAAACAATATCAACAGTAAAACATCAAACATGTTTTATATTTACCTTTAAGAATACATATAATGTTCTTTACTAAAGTACTAAAATAGTTTTTCAATAAATTTTATTATTTTTACTTAAAATATATTGTTCATATTATTCAAAAATAGTCATCTAAATTTTAATTAATATTAAAAATAAACATACTTTTTTTTAAATTAAATTGTAAAGAATCATATAAAATTGTATTTCAGTTATTCTCAAAGGTAGAGCTTATTTAATAAAATTTTAAGACTTAATTATATATAAAATATATAATTATAAATGTATATACAAAAAATATATATGAAAGTTGCGATAAATGATTATCTTTTATAATTTGTTTATATTAAAGAAAAATGGACTTAAAATTATCTAAAAAATTTGCAATTTAAAATAGATTTAGTATAATGTAATGTCTGTATACTGCAAACACATATTATTGTACAAAAATATATCTACAATATATTTAATTGATAATTACATTTAATGATATATTATATCTAATTCATAATAATGGATTTTTTCATACATTTCTTATACATACATTTCTATATATTTATTTATATATTTTCATTATAATCATGATTTCTCTATATAACACACATTACATATTTTAAGAAAAAAAATTTTCAATTATATAGTTTTAATAAATTGTCATATATAATTTACCTTGAAATGATATTTCTTCGTCATAGCATCTACACTATCTTTATTGATAATCTTATTGTATATATGCGATTTCCGTAATCTTTCCAAATTAAACAGCACCATTCCACTATTATAGCCAGGATATCCACCTTTGTGCCAAGGTTCACCAAATATTGTTTTTGGATGTTTATTACGATATAAGTACAAAACATGTCGATAAACTGGTGTGAGCTCTGGAGCTAAACCAAATAAAGCTTCTTTTCCGAAATTATTAAACTCTTCAAATAAATCTTTCACATCTCTACGAAATTTTGTATCTGCATCAAACATCATAGCAAATCTTTGATGACTTGGTGCAATTCTATGTAGACCTAGTGAAATAAAGAATAGTGCATCGGAATAATATGTCCCTGGTTTGCTGCTAAAATGTGGTGACATAACTGATACAATATCTTCTAATTGTACAGCCAACTTGTGTACATCATAATAAAATACCTAGAAATAAAATAAATATGTAAAGATATTTTAATCAGTTAAAATATAATCTGAAATTGAATATAAATTGAAATACTTTAATCAAATTAATTGTAATTATGAGAACATTGCATAAATAATCTTGGAAACGATGTGTTAAAATTAGTGAATAATTATATATAGAAGGTTTATGATTTTACATGATATACCTTTTTTTAAGTATTCAAGATAATAAAACATTCTAATAGCTATAATATATATGTATAAGAATTGGTTTAATTTTGGTAGAGTTGGTTTAATTTTTTTGTTAAAAATAAAAGAAAAAGATACAAGGACATACTTTCATAAATTTGCCAGTGTTAATCATAACATTTTTAATAATAATTTCTGCTATATCATGACTGTCATTATCACTTATCACATGGAAGATAATGTCTACAGAAGCTAGACTGAGCAGAGAGTCGACAAATATTTGGAATTTGCGTCTCATAGGGGAGTTTGAGGCAACTTTACTAAAAATGCACCATATATTGTAATAATTTGTTTGATTTGGTAGCAAAGTATTTGCTGTTGAAGGCAAATAATTGGTAGAATATGCAGCAGTTGCTGAAGCAGATGTAAGATTTGGCGAACTTGTATTTCGCATCTGCAAACTAGATATAATCCCTCGTCTTCCATCGGATATTTGATAGCAATATAAGGCCAGTAAAAGCAAGGCGAGGATCATTAACCTCAACAGCACCTTGCGTAACAAGGGCATTTAACTTATATCCCTTATTTTCACAACCTAAAAATGCAAATAAATTTAAACTTGAAGAAAAAATTGACAAAATATAAATAATATGTAAAATATTTCTAACAAAAGAAAAAAATATAATTCATCATATTTTTTCCAATTTCTCTCTTCTCTTTATTTTGATTTAATCAAGTTATTTTTAATTATATTTAATTTGCTTTGATTAATTTTTTATTTGAAATGAAATACTAATTTTAAGTCATGGCAATTGGAAAAATATTAATAATATAACTGTTACAATTGTAAGTCATGTCCCAATAAGTCACTTTTGTTTTTCAACTTATTTTATTAAATGATTAATTATTAAATATATTTAAGAAACATACTATTATTATATATTATCATGTCATTTATTAACATATCACGATTTTATTCAGTTGTATTGCAAACTTTTATATTGCAATGTTCACCATTCAATTTTCAGTATAAATATCAACAATAAG